TCAGTGACCTTCTATCTACGTAGTAGATCCGACACTTAGAAAATACAGTGTTGTTAGTTTTTAGTGCTTTATATATATATATATATATATATATATATATATATATATATATATATATATATATATATATATATATATATATATATATATATATTAAAGATCATTTTTGCTGTTCAGTATGTTAACTCCCGGTATTCACCTGTTGATTTGTTCAGTTGTTAATCATTGTACTAACATACCCCTTTAGTGAGTCTCAAGTCTCATCACAAGTAAAATTCACATATAAAAGAACTTTCAACTGTATATAAAAAAGGGTAATAATACGTAAAACTGATTTATCTCGTTTTCGTGCATATCGAGGTCAACAAAAATACGACTTACCCAATCGATTTCATACACATTTAATATCTGTATTTATTGTTCAAAGAAACTGCTTCACACTTAAACTGAAGGATTGTATTATGTTATGGCGTTTCCGTTCTTCTGCCCATCTTTCTGTCTGTAAACTTTTTTTATGTTCGGGTCATATCTTTCACACTGTGAGGCTTACGACCAGTAGTCTGGAATATTTGTGATGTTGGGAGACTATACAAAATTAATTTAAAAAGCTCTAAACACTGTGCAGAATGATACTAGTAATTCTAATTCTATGTAATGGTTATGTAGTTAGATTGGTCTGTCCTTTGATGTTAGATGTTCAAAATAAACAGAAATCTATATACTGTATTTAATGAAACAATTTGAAATAGATTGAAGAACAAGTATCCTTAGCATTAAATTAGACCAATTAAGTCGAAGTAATTAATGAATGCATTATTTGCAAGTATTTTTCCAATCTAAGTAAGCGATTTCTATTCAATAGTTTGAATTTTTTTCTGTTGAAATAAAGCGGGTATCGAATGTTGAAAATGATCTACATAAATGCAATATGTACACCTTTATATGATGTAATTTCCTCAAAATCCAAAAAAGCACTGTTCATTAAAAACTTTAGAGCTTCCTTAGAAGTCTCTTGCAAATCTATTTACATCTTTTCTTAGTTTAACATTTGTTAATTCATGCGCGGATCTAAAAGGGGGGAGGGGGTTCCGGGCCCCCTCGAATTTGCAGAGTTATAATAAAATGTATGTACTAAAGCACGGAAAAGTCATACATATGAAACTTAAAATGTGGAGTGGAGCGGCTAACCCACCCCACCAACCCCCACCCCGAAATAGGTTGTTCATATTTAGACGGTGGCTATTTATAGCCACAGTCTATTGCTGCTGCTTTTGGGCTATAAATAACAACAGTGTAAAATCACGGGGACTCTAGCGGCGATTTTTGCAGAGTCAAAATAATGAAAATAGGGTTGATTCGATGTTTGAAAATAAAATGCACATAGTAAACGAATACTCTCAAGTTATTTCAAAGACATTGTGTTGATGGGCACAAAGCTTAATTCCTTCATGAATATTCAATAAATTACGCCGACCTACAACTAATTCGTACACAGACCGACTCGTATATTCGTATGCAAACTACAGAAGTCACACGGCTTTTTTTTAACGTTGTGTTTATGTAAAATTTAAATAATATTTATTAATAGTCAGAATACTTAAGGGAAAAATTTTGGAGAATAATGGTTTCACATGTTAACTTTGAAATCAAATAATTATAATTGCTAAACACACGCACGGTGATTTCTTAGTTATATGTATGTGACAAACGGTAATTACGAAACGTTCCCAATTTGATACTCCCGAATTATGAGATACTCCATGCTAGGAAAGCGTCGATCTCCAAATTTCTTGTTCCGGAATTGCATGTTTTATAAATGTTTTATTTGAGACGTTTTGTGGAATTTTTATACAATAAAACTTTTAAAGTTAACTGTAATTTTACGATGTCTTTTGATTGTTTGAATTTCTAATATCTGTTGACGATAATATATTAGAAATATATATATATTTTCGGAAAGAAAAAAAAAGATCACGACATCTTACCGACAATCAGTTAATAAAAGAGTTGTTGGAGGCAGATACAATGCCATAAAATTTGCAAAATTTATTACGATTCTATATCTAAAAATAATAATAATAGTAAGCCATTGCCTAATTATCTCGGGCACAAAAACTACTGAACGAATGCTAATTTATCAAAGTTATAATTAAAAAGACTGTGACGGACAAATGTTAACAATATATATCATTCGTATTTGAAAATTCTATCATGCCTCGAATAAAATTTACCCTCTAAAAAGTGTAAGAAAAAAAGGTACTAAAATACACGTGCATGAAATATTGGATTTTCTTGCGAATTCAGTGGGCTTAATTTAGGTCAATCCTCTCCTGCGTGTGTTCACAAGTTAAATTTCGTATTGCGCAATGACTAGCAGCAATAAGCAGGGTTACGTATGAGAAATAGCATCGTCACAAACCACGGCCAAAATTTACGATCTTCTCCCACTCTGAAGAGAGCTATATGCGGACTCCGAACCGCTGCTTGAGAGGATGGAGAAATAGAGGCTGACAAATATTTTGTTTTTCTGTTCTTCTTTTTTTCTTTTCGAACAGTATATATCAAACAAAGAAGTAAGACTTCTGTACAATTCCTGAAGTCTTTCAAGCTTTTAGAAATAAGTTAATTACAGCCAGGGAATTTGGCAAAGATGGGAATCCAAGGATGAAGTCTATTTCATTATCTTTCAGCATATGATTTATGTCCACAATCTACAGTACATGGCCAAAAGTGATTCATCGTTTCACTTTTTACCATATACTTTATGAAAAGTAAGTTTTTGTTAAAAAAAATATTGTGGGTTCAATTCTACTCAAAATTTCAAAAACTTTTCCAATAAGTTACGAAAAATTGTTCATCTTTTCTTTTTTTTTTGGGGGGGGGGATGCAAAATTTGATTATTGATCACTGAGTAAAGATTTGAAATTATAAAGTCAAAATTTCTAACTTCAAAACACCACGATTTCATTACTCATTTTTGTAAAACATGCATCTTAGAATAAAAATGTTCGGTCACTACATGAGTATATTAGGAACCTTGATTCCTCTATGATTTAACATTTAGGGTAAACTGGTTTTGACACGTTTTAAGCATTTATTTATGGGGAAAAATACTAAAACATCCCAAAATCCATTATTTGAATATATAATATCAATCTGTCCATCATCCTTAAATATGTTTTCATTTTTAAATTTGCAATTATGACTGTACACCACAATAGTACATATAGAAAAAAAAAAACTGAAATGATCGAAGTTTCTGGCATTTCAGGATAGTTTTTTAAATTCAATCCTTCTTTTAAAATTAACCAAATGTAGAAAATTTCATGCAATAAATTAACAACCCCAATTAATCCTCATTATACTACCCAAATATGAATTTACTTATTTAATTTACTTATTAAAAAACATGTATCGTGAAAAATTGCAATAAACTTTCATAATGTCCATCATATCAATTTACAGATTCTTAATATATTTAATTTTATCTCATTCAATGCCAGTCGCCGTGTGGCGCAGTGGTTAGCGATTGCTCTTGTTATGAACACGAAGGAGTCGATCCTTACGTAGAGGGTTCGAATCCCACTGCGGGACATGGAGACAGTTAAACCGAGGTCCCGTGTCGCAGTAAGTGCTGGTCAGAAAAAGATCCCTCACTACTCAATGGCCTGGAGTGCTGAATATAGATCTAAATTTGTAGCCCACCAACGGCAATAGTGATGTCTCAATATGAGTGAAAAATTCTCGAGAGGGACGTTAAACAAACAAAATCATTCATGCCACCGTCTATCAGCACTTACAGTACTTTGATTAGTTAAGGAGTTTCTTTTTTTTTTGGGGGGGGGGGGGGGGGGAGGGGCTTGTCAAGAAATGTCTGCGTTGGATTTTACTTTGACTTGGTTGGAACCCCCCCCCCCCCCCCCGGGAAAAAAAATCTGGATCCGCGCCTGAAATTAAAACTTAATTAAAATAAAATTCCCATTGTTTTAGAATAAACGATTTCTACTATCGGCAATATATTTCTTTGCAAACGCATCTAGCCGCTAATGTGGCATAATCTTTATTCTGAATAAGGATGTTTACATTTTTCTGAATAAGGACGTTTACAAGGTAAAAAAGAAAAGCTTATATTTTGTATCTTTCATGCTAATTAAAAAATTTTCTAGGTGAAAGTGTGTTGACGTAAAAAAAAAAAGTACACACATAAATTCAAAATTTATAACCTAAAAGAACAGCTTTTTTTCTCCCAAATTTTAAGTAGACGACTTCTTGCTCAATATACAAAGAGACGGTATAAATTTAGCACACAGTTTTAATATGACTTGTCCAGTGATAATGGCTGCATATGTAATTCATATTCATTATGCATGTACATTTGAAAGTTTCCAGGAAGAAACCGAAAATACTTAAAGAGTACGAGGCACAATGGATGACAACAGAGCGACACTGATTTAAACAGGCCACATGCAGGAGATAATTAGATGGCTACAAAATAGATGTTCTTAAAAGAGAGAAAAAACGTATTAGCTGCATTTTGGAGAAAAATAATTTCTCGAGATCTGCATGAACAACAAATCATTGAAAGAAGAGCGATATCAATATACATGTAAATGTAAAATTTGAGGATAACGAACAGTGATCAACCTCATAAATCTAGTAAACAAAACAAATCATGAACAGGGCAAAAACACGGACCCCTGGAAACACCAGAGGTGGGATCAGGTATCTAGGAGGAGTAAGCATCCCCATGTCTTATAATATCTAAGTACTTCTTGGAATCAGTATACCGCTATTGAAGTTTATATCCCTTATATATAGTATACTTGTTATTGTTTTTTTAACCTTAAAAATTAAAAAAACGATACAAGGTAGTACAGAATAACAAATCGCAAATTGAATGAATGGTACGTTTCAAAACAATTTGTTTGTTGCGGTAAGATTATTTTGGATATTCACAATAAGTTAAATAATCAATGTTACATAATGAAATATCTCAAGACTTAGGTAATGGAATTTGAACGTTTCTTTGCCATGTTATGAATTTCAGTACACGAGTCTACACTTAAGGATTGTACGCTGTTTCTCTGAGCATATTTCATTTCCTCATAAGCATCGTCTAATATTTCATCGTCTATCTCCGATGCATTTTCGTATTCTGAATCAGAGTTTCTGTGTTTCCTTTTCTCCTTTTCCGAAGAGCTGTCTGAGTTAGGGTACTTTCCTTTTTCATCTTTGTCCGTGAGTGAAGAACTATCAGATTCTGAACCAGAATTTTTACATTTTCTTTTCTTTCTTTTAACCGGTTCAGATTTAGAACATGAACCATTCCGACCATCAACTTCATTCTCCGAATTTGAAATATCTGCTTCATTACCTTCTTGCACTGTGGGAAGAGGAGAAGGAATGCTTGAGGGTGGAACTTCATTTGTTGCTGAATCGATTTCATCTGTCCAACTATTACTTTGAACCTTCTCAGATGGTTTTATTTGCTCTCCTGGAAGTCTCCACCTGACACTTTTAGGTGAAGTAAGACCACCTTCACTGGTGGGGCTAGAAGTACTACTTTTGTGTCTTCCTTTGATATCAAGTTTCTCATTCTTCGAGTCTTGTTGTTCCTCGGTTACACTCGCTACTTTGTTACTTTTGATCTTAAGCTCTGGCAACTCAAACCGGGTCTTTTTTACTTCAGTTTCGGGTTCTTTCTTTACCGAGTCGTTCCCGTTGAGTAAATTATCATTAGCCCTTTGCAATACTTTAGAAAAATCTTTCTTAGAAAGAGACTCGGCAACACTATGTGCTCTTTTATCCCTAGATGAATGTATATGGCCATTTGAAGTTGAAGGAATGAAAGCTGATTTTCGTCTAAGTTTGCTGTTTTGTGCAAGCTTTACGATATTTAGTAAAGATGGTTTTTCGGAAGTTCCCATTTTATCTTTTAACAATTCCGTAATTTTTGTCCATTTGGCTAGTCTATACTTCCGCTTCCGCTGTTTTAATTTAGAACGAGACTGTGCATGTGTATAGTACAACGTAAAGTTCTGAACAATTGCAGGAACTGATAGAGCAATTACCAATACTCCGCTGATGGCACACATAGATCCAACAGTATACCCTAATCCCGTACTTGGAGTCATGTCACCATATCCGACTGTTGTCATGGTGATGAGAGCCCACCAAAATGCGAGCGGAATGTGTTTAAAATCGGATACTTCATCAGAGAAAATTTCCATGTAATATACCAAACAAGCAAAGATTACAACTCCAATAATAACGACAAGCAGCAGGAGAAATAATTCGTTGGTACTGGCTTTCATTGTGTACATCAGCACCTTTAGTGCCATAAAGTGCTTCATCAGAATGAAAATTCGAAATATTCGCAAAACACGTAAAGCTATCAGCAGACGAACTATGTCGAAAATTTCGATCGGATTGGGGTGTGCAAAAACTAGGGTCACAGCAACGTAGTATGGTATCAAACAAACAAATTCAATCAAAGTAAATGGTGTGATTAAAAAGCGTCTTTTGTATGGAGCGGCTATGAACTTGATGACCAACTCAGATAGGAAGAAAATGTTGCAAATGTTGTCAACAATAAGTAAAACGGACAATGGTGTTGTATTTTTGAAAATGTTGATTTCGTCTTTCAGTTCTTCACTTGTAAAATTCCTTCTGTCGGCTTTGGAATGTGCGTAAATTGAGCCGAAATACGGAAGCGTCTCCACCATAAGGACAGTGATAGAAAGTATGACGATCAGAAGCGAGACAACAGCATATACCTGAAAAAAAAAATTTTTTCTTATTCATGGAATGTTCATTAGAAATTTATTTGTTTTAGATCTTCAGAAATTTTCGGAAATGATAGGAAAAAAGTATTCAAATCCTTTTTCTTTTAGCCAAATTAACTCATGAGCCAGCATGAGAATAAGAAAGAATTAGGGTGAATTCACTCAAGCGATGTTCATTTATTGGAACAATGAATGACTGAAATTTCACTGGCTGTACTTTATGTATGTAGATGACTGTACATGGAATATGTAACGTACATTTTTAAATCACAGAGAGTATCGAGGAAATTGGCAAATCACGTGTACCTTGAGGAAGAAGGCCTATTAAACTCTTCTTTCTAGTAATATTAAAATATTTTTAAAGCATTTGAAATCCTTATAGGAAACCTCTTAATAATAAACAAAACCAGCAAAGAAAATATGAAGTCTTCATTTAGAGCATTTTCTTTACATGTACTCGTCTAAATAAGAACCTTGAAATTTTACAATTTTAGAAATTGTTAAAATTATCTCTCCTGTTCGACCATTCATGTAATTTTGCAGTGAGTTCTTATTTTCTTTTTGAATAATTCGCTGCTCTGCATTTTTTAAATAGATATTTAGAGGGCTGGGTGGTTGTGGCCATTTTTAGACTATATTGACATCCTTTAGAAGGAGAGCTCCATATGAAGATATACAAAAATGATTAAATTTTAAAAACTAAAATGTACGAGATTTTTCTTTGCCAAATGATAGTTGACAGCTTATATAAGATATCATATCTATAAAATTGAATTATATATGACGGTTAATTTGTTGACCCCCCCAGCCTCCTTAAGGCTCAAAATCAAACTTTCGTCATTTCTATTTATAAATATATAGATAAATCTTGTACCAGGTCAAATTCTAAAGAAATTCTGGCAATCGGAAGTCAGTTTCAAGTATTCAAAAAGTACCACTTAGCCTGAGAAAGAAAGAAAAGCTTTGATAATTAGTCATCTTTTTCTGAGTAGAGGAACTCATAGAAATTAAAAAAAAAGTTATCGCTTTGAAACGTGAGGTAGATTCTGGTATGTAGGTATAGGATAAAATGAAACAAATTATTTTTTAGATGTATGATATTCGAAAAATTATCACAAATTGAATCAAGTAGACTGGGAACTCGATTTAACAGGAAAGAGACATTGAAGTGTAAAATAATGGAGAAAAGCTGTAGTTAAGTAACAAATTATCAAAGCATTTATTTATTCATTTTTTTTATTTATTACCAAAGCACACGCTATGGTGCGTCATGTACGTGTAAATAACACAAATGTGGGTACTGAAAGAAATCTCCAAAGGAATATTCATTGTATAACAGTCAAATATGGAGAATAAGGTCAGATTTGATGTTTGTGATAGATGAAGGGAACACAATACTAGTTCTTACAAGATTTCGCTTTGATCTGGCCAGAAATATATGCACAAATATCAAATAATCCATATATTAATCTTCATTCACATATACACATAAAACGTTAACATTTATTAAAGGAAAAAAGACTTATGTACATTGTATATATATATATATATTAAAGCTAAACAAAACTAATTAATAAGCCCATGTTGTTAACCTTTCTTGAACAAAAGAAAACAGATTAGATATATCTTAATCTGAATCACAAGGTCAATGATTTTGAAATAACACTTTAAATCGTTGTTCGTGAACTCTATTATCCGATTAAAAGGCTCTTTTACAAATTTTTTTTTTATACGTGAAATGAAGTAGTTTTTGCAAGATAATTTGTACGTATTGTGTCGATAACTAGATGTTTAAAAATTGGTAAATACACACAGCAGGCTGCCCTTCAAAGATCACGATATATATTATTAGCCTGTAAAGTTTGTCTTTATGATACAAATTTTATATACAGTATACAATGAAGTGCAGTTTCTTACCAAAGAAGCTTAATTCCATATTCTTTTATTCTGTTCCATTTCTTCAATTTTGATACACGGGTCATAAACTTTAATATTTTAATGAATAAATCGTGCGAGAGTGAATTATTCATATCACAATAAAAAAAAATATTTTGTTATACCCGTATGGAACCTGACAAACATACTGAAGATTTTTTTTTTTCAAACAAGTGTGTTAAAAAGACAAGATTCTGTAAATCTCTTTAAATTTTGTTTATCTTTTTTCCTGCGATTTCTATTTACATGCTTATCAGACTGACTTTTGGGACAGATTTAGGGTACCTTTTAACTTGATTTTGTTTGAACTGTACACAAATGTTGTATATCATTTTATGCATACTTACCGTGGCCCCTCTCGATGAATAAGGATCCTGGAGAAATCTCCAAAGTTTCGGACGAATTCTTTCGAACCGAGAGGCATCTGCCTTAATTCGCTTTGTGGCCAGCCGATTGTGTTTCTCGTCAAGATCGAACATTTCTAACATTGCGTGCGTTTCCTCATACTTTATATAATGTACCCAACAACACTGTTCTATGTCTTTGTCATCTATCATCCAATACTTAAGTTCGTCCTTCAGAATCATACCACATATATTAAGTGGTAAGTGAAGTTTTCCCACACGGTAAAAATTCAGAATGAAAGGGAAAAAATCCGGTTGACGGTCAAAGTAAAATTCCCTTTTACCTGTTTTCTCGGCGATGTCTGCAACTTCTGAGAGTCTTGTTGTCTTTCGTGTATACTTCCTTAAAGTTTGAATTCTCGTCTCGTGTCGTACACCACCAACGTTTAACGTGATGATGTCGTCTGCATTATCGTAAACATCGCCCTCTTCATCTGTTTCATCGTGAGAGTCATCATCCTCGTCATCCGTGACTTCCTTTGTTGATGGAGTTTCCGATGATTTTGACATCTTATACAGAAAGTTCGTCCCTACGTTAAAGTCCCAACAAAATATGCTATATAAAGATCAGGACGGTAGCGAGAATTTAAAAGGAAATCCAAATAGGATTTAAAGTCAGTTGAAGAAAGTTTTCTGTTGTTTTTTTTTTCAATTGTCACAAAAATCACACATTCAAATGTAATGAAAAATATACCCAATTTTGATCCACAGAACAGCTTTTATATAATTTCGCATTTAAAACAGACATCGGCTATCTTTATCGAAGAACATCTATGTCAGTCATTGTTTATTTCAGATAATCCATGGCAAAACATTAAAAAGATATTTGCCCCCTCATTAAGAATTGTGCCAAGTTCTGCAACGGGCTGTCGGTATTGTTGTATGTACCCGTGATGGACATACAAAGGTATATGACACTGTTTTCGGACGATTTTTATAGATAAATATTCTTTGACTGATACATTTTGGTGATTAATTAAAAAGAAACCATGTACTTTGGATTCCAAAGTTGATCACGAAGTGTTTAAATCCCGGCGTGTCTCCTCTTACCCTAATTGCCGAATATTCTACAAAGACCTTTGATAATCTATATTCTGTCGGTTCATAAATCTATCGACGACTCTTTTAGAATGCAAATGCATATAAAGAATAACAGGTTTATACGTACAGGAGCATAATGGAAACTCTGTGATGTTTGAATTTTAATTGGTATATGAATCCTTTGATAACGCCTATAAAAATAGACGACCAATCTGAATATGCATTGGGAAAACACAATATATTATGGGAAAATAAATATTTTTGTTTTAAAGGCATTAAAAAAGCAACTAAGGAAAGGAAAGCATTAGATTCATTCTTCAATGCATTCTGACTTTTAATTGGAATACAGCCCTTGTTTAAACTGCACATTCCGAAAAAAAAGTTTATCTTCACTTTCAGTCACCCAAAAATATTTTTAAAGTAATATTTGAAGTCGTACATATTCAGGGTAACCAAACATTCTTTTTTGCATATGATATCCATGGCATGTACGTGAGCAATAAGAATTCGGAATTTTGATACCGGCCCCAGCTAGGGACCCACAAAGCCCCCAAAAGACGTAATTCTTAATTTAAGCTATTCGTTACAACTCTTTATACATTTTAGAGTATTAAAATGGATCAGTTCTCTTCTGAAATCGTCGTACTGAGGCTGTATATGCGCAAAATTATTTGAGTTTCTGAAAGGGATCTAATTTCCGGATTTTCAGATGAGTTATCAGATTAAGCTCAACAAGTTGCTATATTTCTTATGTTTATCACACCTGCATACAGATGATGACTATTGGGATGCTTACAATTAACCCTGGTTCCATGCTGCATTTAATTGACTTGATAATTGATTAAGTAGATGTTTTGGGGCAAATCTTTTGCCAATGGAATTCAAGTCATACCTTGACCATACTTACATTCATGGCGTATCTTGGAATGCATACCACCAGAATTGCTTTAGACGCTGCATGTGATAACCAATAGATTCTTGGATGAGTGGTTGAGTAGATGTTTTGGGATTATATAAGTACATTCCCAAATACGTCTTCTTCATCATTTTCAGCTTTCTAATTTTAAAAGTTATGTGAAAATTCTGCAAAATGTTGACTTTTGGATTAAAATTAAAACCATGGTTATTGTATTTCGTTATGAAATTTAGATGCTTTGTATCGTGAACATTAATTATGGAAAACAAACATTTCATGAAATCTATAATTGAAAAAAAAATTGATTAGCACAATTCTAATGTACAAAGAATTCTGCTCATGTTTTGACCCTATACATAATGAAAAAGGTGATCAAATCCAAAAAAAAAACTATAAACAACAAATCTGTGAGCCGGGTCCAAAATATAGACCTCTGGAAATTCCAGAGGTGGGATCAGGTGCCTTGGAGGAGTAAGCATCCCCTGTCGACCGGTCACATCCGCCCTGAACCCTATGTATTGATCTGGTAGACGGAATATCCCGTAGTCAAATTTAGTATAAAAACAAAGGCCTAACAATTTGGATGAAATATGTCAGTAAAATACTACCCACAATTTTAAGCTATATTTGCTAACAAGATCATTATACTGACCATAGAATTTACGAAATGCTTACTTTAAACGAGATTATAGAAATCCCTGTAACATCATTTTATCTCTCAGTAGCCTGCTTCGGTTTAAAAATTGATCATACTCAGAGCATGCTTCAGAGTATCAAATGAATTGGAGGCATAAACACCATATGCAGCTGATAAAGGAATATTACTACATAAAGTTGACGATGGAAAAGCTGAAGTCATATCGTTTGACATACAATTTAGTTGTTAGTTGGCCCTTATCCTTAATAGCAAGTATAATATCCAAATATAAAAGAGAGATAGCAGACTTTGTGGTGTCTTTTATTTCGAGTTTACTGAGATAAATTGAGTTGACATGTGAATGGAAGTAACTATTGTTAATTGATAAACGTCCTCGGTATCTCTAATTTCGAATTGAAGGCCACAGCTTCTTGTATAGAAATTTTTGAATAAATTCTGCTTCCTAGGAATATAAAAACAGGTCGACTTTTATAGGAGAACAATTTCTTCCCATCGGAATTCCAACAGTTTGTAGGAGGATCTGGTCTCGAAAGACTACAGAGACGTTGTCAATGAGGAACCCCAGAGTACTTTTGTATAGAATCAGAATGATTTTTTTAAACAAAGTAATTTTATTGATGACCAGTTATAAGATAGGAAAATTTCCGAGTTCCATTTTTATTGGAAAAGAGGTTGTCTATTATATCATGAAGCCCAGTTTTTAATTTATCGTGAGGAATGGTTGTATAAAGTGTACAAAAGTCCTACGTTTCGATGTTACTAAATTTTGGGAAAAAAGATGTGATTTTAAATATTCTTTTGTTTTGTAGTTTATGCGAATCTACATCTGACTTACATCACTTCTAGAATATGCTGTAGCACAGTACCAGAACGTCTGGAGTTTCTCCTTTACAGCAATTAGTATTTATATGAGGAGTAAAGATAGGGGTCTGGTAGAGCAGTTGCTGCACTCGGTAATACATGTACGTCTTTGTCTGTAAGAATTTTTTTTATGAAGTTTAGGAATCCAATATAAGTAGGTCAGATCGAACTCACCATCGTTGACTGGAATATGAAAGGTTTTAAAGATGAAATTTGATTTTGAAGAATGTCATACAGAGAAAGAGAACTGTGAGTGTTGTAAGTTGGATTTCCAGATGTAGAATTCAAAACCAAGTTCTTTTTAAACTTAGCCACTTTCGTATTTCATTAAGTAAAACAATAACTTACGAACTTATAATGATTTCACTACTTCTGAAATTTTTTTCATACAAAAAGTACTGTAGAATCATATACTTTTTACGGGGTCAAATTTTCGCGGTTATAGGAAAAGATACTGGTTCGAGGAGATCTAGTTCCATGATTGAGGAAGTGCTGACTTGTTCTGTATTGAATTTCGAAATTTTACATTTCGTAGAGGACATGAATTCGTGGGTTTATTTTGTTCAAACAACAAAAATGTAATCCCCTCAAAAATAAGTGATTTTACAGTACCTGCCTTATCTTGTCATGGAAGAAACAGTGAAGACATTTTGTGCTTTTAAAAAGAACTACAATGTAGCATTCAAACAGTTATCTTTCTTTGAATGATCCATGAAAGAATTATGGTATAATTGTAATAAATAGATTCTGACTGAATTTTTCTTAAAAGCTGACGAGTGACATACCTTAATATCATTTTCGGAGTACTTGTGTATACAAACAGAATGTTTTAGCAAAATCATTTTGCAAATGACCAATGACAAGATAAGTAAATTTACGAGTTTTTAATTTTTTCTTTGAAAAAGCAGCTGTCTATGATGTCAAAAAGTCTGCGGACTTTAATTTGACGTGCATGGGATATGGTTGTATAAAGTCGTACGTTTTGATGTGATTGACTTTTTCGGTATATAAAAATGCGAGTACTGCCCATAAGGCGATAATTTGAAATACGTCCAATATATGTGAAACAAGTACAAAAGTGGTTGCATATTAAGTGGTTTTTTGCACAGTTTATAATTAAATGATGTGTATTTTTGCGGTCTTTACAAAATTCGAGGTCTTCCTTGTCTAGAGTGCTACACGTTTTGTGCAGACTGTCCTTTTAGAATTAAACATATTTTAGTTTACATATTTATGTTGCTCTAAAGATTAATAATAAATTCAGTGTACAGCTTCGTAGGAAGAAGATTCAGTTTTCTGTGGGGGTTGGGGGCGAACAGATATTCATTGATAAGCAAAAGGACAAAACAAGGAAAGGTCACCAGTTCTTTATAATGGTACACAACCGTAAATTATCTCTGTTTCCTATTGTATAGTATATGATGGCATATATTAAGGGAAACAGCCACCCAGTGCCCCCCCACCCCCCCCCCCTCTCATAATTCCTACGAACTTGGTAACATATCAATTCAAATGAATATACGTGTAATTTCTAAATTAACAAATCATCATTGTGAACGTCAATTCATTTTTATATTTGTTTTTATGCTATTGAACTTTAACTTTAACCAGGTCTATTGATCAAAATTCAACGATGTAGCTCAGTTTTCAACGGGATAGGTCTGAATTCAACACCATTGTTCTCAATATTCAACGTTGAAATATGACGCCCAGGTCAAAATTTTCTTCGTTGAACTTTACAGCGTGATACAAAAAAAAATCTCCATAATTCTTTCAGATGACTTTATAAATACACAGTTGTCCATAAATATAAATTGTACATGTAATTCGTCAACAGTAAGCATAGATACAGTCAACTTGCATACTGGCAAATTTCAGTGACAGAGCCAAAAATAATCGAAGTATATTGCTGTATGCATTTTGGAGGGAAAAAATTCCCGAAATACAAACAACAAACCAACAAGTCTTATATCAATGAAATAGGAAGATAACGAACAGTAATCAAGTTGATAAGTCCACTGAAATAATACAAATTT